TAGCTACCTGACTGGCAGGTTTCAGGCTGTTATGAGGGAGGACGGGAAGGTATTGGACTGGCTCAGGATTGCTACTGGAGTACCGCAGGGTAGTATTGTGGGACCATTGCTATTTGCAATTTATATCTCGGATCTGCCTTCTGTTCTCTCCTTCATTAATTACATGCTTTATGCCGACGACACGCAGGTCCACCTTCACTGTCATTTATCCTCCCACAAATACCCCTCTATCGACCTTTGGTTCATAAAATATCTAATTAAATATGGTTGTTTTTTAGCCAAATACACGTCGCTCCACTTTTATACCTTTCCTCGTTTCACACTTTTTTTCTGTGAAATAGGTGCCATCGCGCTTTCATTACTTTTACTATTTTTATTATTTTTACTACTTTTATTATTTTTATTGTTCTTATTATTTTTATTATTTATATTATTTTTCATCTTTTATTATTGTTAGTTTTGTTGTTTTATTCCAATTATATTGTTCTTTATATATTTTTATTTTACTATATTTTACATATTTTATTCTATATTCATTTCACGTACATATTGTTAGTCTTCTTACTGTTAATGCTATTGTAAATTCGCTGCTCACCGTACATACAACTCACGCATTTTCACCTAATTCATGTTCTTTAAATAGTTAAATGTATTGCGATTTTTTCTTGCATCTCTTCTTTTATCATTTTTAATTTTTGTTATTGTTTGATTTGTACACTTTCTAAACTGCCAGACGGGGTTCCACCTCACTGACGCAATAAACGAACTAATCTAATCTAATCTCTCTGCCTCTATCGCACGCTACCGGCGTCAATATGTCGAAGGTAGCGTGGCAGATCTGCCAGCTACGTAATTGGCCGCAATTACTGATGCTATTTGTACAGGCGTCGTTTTGTTTTCATTAGTTTTACGTTAGTTATCAAGATAGGATAGGCGAATCGGATAACATCCTTGCCACCGATCCATTTTTTGCGAAGGCAGGAGTTATTGTCGAGCGTAGCAAAACCGGTATTGGGATGGTCATTTTATATTATTATGTTGTTGTTGGTTGTCGTATAAAGACTTTTATTTAAAATCGCTGTCACTGCTACTTCTGAGTCCACGTGGGTGCACCAAAACCTGTCGCTTTTAGGTGGGACATGCACGAAAGCAACGGCCTTCTGCTCTTATTCACTACGCGTATGAAAGTAGGATTGTCATAAAATTTTTATTTTTTAATATGTCTAATGTAACATATTCAATGTATGCTATTTAAAATAGTTCTGACCCTTTGATATAATTAGTTAATAAATTTATATCACAAAAACAAGAATTCGTTCATCTTGTTTATTCTACTATACGAGAGTCGTTTGAAAAGTCCGTACAAAAATAAAAACTGCTTGATTTTTTAATAAATCTTTTTTATTTTTCAACATAGTCTCCTTTTAGGCTTATACACTTCATCCAACGCTGCTCTAGTTTGTTAATCCCTTCCAAATAATAGGATTTGTCCAAGTCTGTAAAATAGGCATTCGTTTCTGCAATCACCTCCTCGTTTGAATAAAATCTTTCCTCCGCCAGCCATTTTATCATATTAGGCAACAAATAGTAGTCCGACGGAGCCAAGTTTGGAGAATAGGGGGGATGTGAAACGAGTTGGAACCTTATCTCCATCAGTTTTGCGGCCACAATTGCTGAGGCGTGAGCTGGCGCATTGTCGTGGTGGAAGAGGACTTTTTTGTGGGCCAATCGTGGACGTTTCTCTAGCAACTCGGTTTCCAAACGATCCAATAACGATGAATAATATTCGCCTGTAATGGTTTTACCCTTTTCCAGATAGTCGATGAAGATTATTCCTTGCGAATCCCAAAAGACAGTCGCTATAACCTTTCCGGCCGAAGGAATTGTCTTCGCCTTTTTCGAAGCAGATTCCCCCTTGGTAACCCATTGTTTAGACTGTTCTTTGGTCTCAGGAGTGTAGTGGTGTATCCATGTTTCATCTACAGTGATGAAACGACGCTTAAAGTCTTGCGGATTTTGCTGGAACAGCTGCAAACCATTCTTGCAACACTTCACACGATCTCGTTTTTGGTCAATCGTGAGCAATCGCGGCACCCATCTAGCGGATAGCTTTTTCATGTCCAAATGTTGGTGCAAAATATTATGGACCCATTTGCTCGAGATGCCTACAGTACTAGCAATCTCACGCACCTTCACTCTTCTGTCAGCCATCACCATATCATGGATTTTATCAATGATTTCTGAAGTGGTAACCTCAACAGGGCGTCCAGAACGTTCAGCGTCTTTTGTGCTCATATGTCCACTCCGAAAATTTTGAAACCACCTATAAACCATTCTAATCGAAGGTGCACAATCACCATAATGTTTATCAAGCTTCTGTTTAATCTCCTGAGGCGTTTTGCCTTTGAAAAAGTAATGTTTAATCAATACACGAAATTCTTTTTCGTCCATTTTTTGACAACCACTCGATTTCTTTGATTGATACGAATGTAAAACGCAAAGTAATTGGCTGATCTGGCTGAAACTTGGTGTGTACTCTTCCAAGATATGCCACTAACTGAAAATGACCTTGATACGCACTAGTAGCGCCATCTCTCTGACTTTGCACGGACTTTTCAAGCGACCCTCAAATATGACAGAAAATACGAGTTATTTTTCATTTATTAATTTACTACTACATTAAGAAAATCTATAGTAAGAGTTCAATTATCTAATATTTAAATTGAAACGCATACGATTTTTTTATATCTTAATAAAATTTAATAGTAAGAATTTATGTATCACGTAAACAAATAATTGAAATAGTTACTCTACCAAAATTGAATAAAATTTCTAGTTTTAATAAATCAACTTTAATTGTTTCATTAATAAATAAAGTATACATTTTTTCCTTTATTATAGTGAAACCAAGACATTGATATAATACCAAGATATAAATGTAAGTATGAGACACTGTTTTGACTTGAAGTAAGCTAAATTATTAATTATTTTACTCTAGAAATATTTAACATTTATAAAATGAATAACAATTTAATTCTTTAACATTGACAATAGTGAAATTAATAATTATTATATTATAGTAGGTAAACTAGAGAGGCCTCAACTCAGAGGGGTATCAGCTCACTGAGTTGAAGCGTGTGAGTTGAGGTGTGTGCATGTTCACCTCACCTCCTCCCCCCCTTACTGATCGGCCCATGCGTTATCGACTCACCTCCCCCCTCCTCCTACTGAGTTATACCGGTTCATTCTACGCACTTTCTCCTCCTCTACTAAGTTAATCTGATGTGGTGTGCGTTCTCTCCCCTCCCCCTGCTGTGCTGTGCGTGCGTTCTACTCGCTCCCCTCCTCCTATACTATGCTGATGTGCTCTGACGCGCCTTCTCTGCACTTCCCCCTCTCCTAGCCTACTGATTTGATTCCTATGCACTGCGTGCTGATGTGTTCTTCCCCGTCCCTCCTTCTCCTTCTCTCTCCTCGTGATCTGATGTATTCTCGATGCGCGCGCGCGCGCGTTCTGTGTTACGCGTTTTGATTTTTTATTGTGTGTGTGTGTGTGTGTATGTGTGTGTGCGCGTGTGTGTTAAATTTTTGAATTTATCGGAAAAGAAACAGACGGATCGGGGGATCGAACGCGCGTCCTCCGGATCCGCAGGCTGATGCCCTACCGCTAGAGCTACAGCCACTGTTACTACGGGCAATACCGTATTGTGCATACTAGCTACACGATTGATATATGGGGGGGGCGGCGGCGGCGCCGGCGGCTGCTGCTGGGGAGGGCCCAAGCGCTAATACATACAAATGATAATAAATTTTAATAAATATACTAATTATAATAAATATTATACATAAATATTTATTATAATTGGTATACGAGTATTACTCGTATAACGAATAATAATAATTTTTTTTGATGTTCAATGTGTGCGCGCGTGCGTGCGTGTGTGTGTGTCTGATCGCTGAAATAAAAAAAAGCATATTATTATTAATAATTATTTATTATATAAAAAAAAAACAAAATATAAAAAATGTACAAAAAAAATACAAAAAATGTACAAAAATTTATAAAAAAACTGACGCTTAGTTATCGTCATCATCATCGCCATCATCATCGTTATCGTCGTCGTCGTCGTTGTCGTCGTCGTTGTCGTCGTCGTCGTTATCGTGATCAGCGGGGAAAAATTTGGCAACTTTATAGCGTGGGGTGCGGTTGACCGTTTCGTCCATGATGCACAGGCGCTTTTTTTCCCCGTGATGTCAAGATTCTGCATGAGCGCCGTTGTGGGTGATTCCGCGGGCCCACTCAAGCGAGCTGGCGACGGCGATCGAGAAGGTTGGCGCACAGCGGGGGAACTTTCGGGACTGCACGACCTCGATATAAATAATCTGCGCACCACGTGTTTGACCGGCCCATTCTGATCGACATGCCGCCTGTTGCCGCGCTGCGGTGGTGATTCCACCCACTGCGGCTGCCGACTGCAGCGACCAGCGGCGCAGTGTACGCACTCCCAGCCCTTGCATACTGGTGTTACGTCCTGAGACGTAAATATTTCTTCATTTTGATTTCATCAGCAATCGATTGAAAACGAAATAATGTATAAACGACGAACGGCATTTTTACGAAATACAAACTGAGCGAAATTAAAAGATAAGTAGTCCGAAAATTTGGGGCGCCCGACATTTTGATTTTTTGATTACTCAACACATTAATACGGGCTGAAGAGTCAATATAAAAACAGAGACTCGACTTTTCGGCAGCGGATTCGCGACGCGCGACGGCCGAATAACGTACAATTTACCTATTGTTATTTTTTGGAGAAATCATTTCTGTCTTTGAATAAATAAATAATTACTTGAATCGAGTGTTCGTGCATCATTACCGACCGACCTCACATATACTTCATCGAGATAGAGCTAAGCAGCCAATTTAACTCGAAATAATAACCCAGGTAAGTTCCTGTCACTATAATAATTTCTAATAAATGATCAAACATATTCTAAAACTACACGTCACGGCTACGTAGTCGTGACATAACACTGGCATGGTGTTGTTGTTGTTGTTGATGTTGTTGTTGTGGTTGTCGTCGTCGCGATCGTCGACCTGCAACAAAAAATGGAAAAAACCTAGAACATACTACCGCTGATTAGAAAAAAAGAAAAGAGAAAAAAAAATCATACCTGTTCTCGTCGGCGGCAGGGCGTCTCTTGTATCTCTGGTGAAACTAAGTTCACCAAGAGCGGCTGTTGTGGCGTTGTGATGTCGATCACGGGTACTGCTCGAGGCGTCACCAGGTCGACGTGTGTCACGTGTCGTGATGATGGTGGTGGTGGTGGTCGACACGAGACAATTACCTGACAGACCATCTACGTGGTCGTCATCGTTATCAGACCTGCAAAAGAAAAAGATTCTTTATTTGAAAAAAATCAATTCATAAATATAACAATATCTATAAATATAACAATATTCAACGTACACTTTCACCGTTGGAAACAATCGCGAGCATGGAGACGGTGGCAGTAACTCAAGTGGCGACCGATGCCTGCTGTAATAGAAAACACATGTATTTGTACTGAAATTCCCTGTATAATAAAACTGAGAGTAACAGTGTACTATGCCGATAACAACTACGACGACGGAAACCAGACATCGTAAAAAAAAGAATGCGATCCAAAAACAAAACAAGAAATTTTAACTACGCGAGAGAAAGGGACATTAAATTTGAAATTGGAAATACTCTCTCTCTCTCATATACACATGTACATATTATATAACGAATAATACAATATTATTAGATATATAAATTTTTAATTGCTTAATCATACTCTCACATTCCTTATTCATTGAAAAAAAGAACAGAACCTCTTTTTTAATGTAAAGAACATATATGCTCTTATTATTATTATAAAAAATTTATGTATAACTAATACCATTATATTGATAAATTAATAAAATTTAAATATAATTGTGTTATTAGTATAATAGTATTAATTATATATAAAATTTTATAATAATAAGAACATATCTATTTACATTTAAATGATTTTGTTCTTTATATTATAAAAAAACAGAATGAGAGAGAGAGAGAGAGAGTAAAAGAGAATGAAAAAAATAGGTATTTACAATATTATTGTAGATGGAGGTGTCAGTGGCATCCGAATTGTTACCGCTTCGTGGATGTCGTCGTCGTCATTTCTCCTCGGCGAAGGTATTCGCGGCTGCTCGACGACTTCGTCCACCGCTGCTTCATTCACTCTGAAGACATTATCTTCGGAAAGATCGCCGTGCTCGCCAAATGCTTCCATAGCTTGATCCAATGCATCTTGCCACGGCCTATCGTCTGGCGCAAACAATTGCTGCAGAACTCGATCTCTCACTTCACTATTATATTCGCGCTGCATCTTCCTTCACCAAAGTTGACTTTCCAACCAAAACAATCACTATGACGTAACGTTGCGAGGCGTTCGAATGTTATTCATTTTTGGAAACACTTGCCGCGCTTTGGTCATTGGTTGAAGATTTGGGAGTAGAGGGTGCGAGACTACGCGACAGCACTGATTTTGTCGCGCGCATAAGACGATCATAATTAGTGGTGGGAGTAGGTAAAGAAAATGTGATTAGTGCGGAGAAAAGACGCCAATGTGTATTAATACAGGATCGCGATAGTGCGTACGCTCTTTTTCTTACGCAATGGACGAAGAGTAGGTGGTGGCAAGCCGTTGGTAGTGACAAGTTACAGTGAACGAACGATCGGCTCTTTTCTGGGCCACTTTTTTCAAGTTGACGAAGCTATACAATCCCGTCAGTTAATTAATATCATCATCAGATCAGATAAATTAAAAACAGCACTTTTCAGTGCTAAATTTTCAATAAAAAAACTTATATTATTTTTTTATAAATCAGCACTTTTCAGTGCTATTCAAACGTATGGTTAAATACAACATAGACCAACTATTTGTTCAATAAAAAACTTATATAATTTTTTTAAAAAATCAGCACTTTTAAGTGCTTTTCAAACGTATGTGTAAATATATCGTAGCCGCAAAGGTAAGTACTAAAAAACAAACGTTTCAACAAAAAAACAATAACAATTTAAAGTTACAAATAAATTCAACCTTGTGTTTTTCTTTATTCTTACCCCTCCATTATCAGCGAGACGAATAGGTAAGTATAAGATAAGTATTTTTTAATTAGTTAAAAAATATATACAAAATTAAAATAGTTCGTTTAATTCAGTGTACAAAATAATACTAAAAAATGATAATTTTTCCTAAATCATGAAGTAATATACAGTTAGTATGCACTATCTTTAGAGAAAGCGACAATGACTCAGATGGTAGAGCACTGTCGTATAGATGCAAAGGAGGCTAGGTTCGATTCTCCTGTATGTCTATTACCGAAAGATTATTACGAGAAAAAAATTCGTCAATAATGTTACTAATTTTTTCTTATAGAGTATTAAATGTAGACAGTTAATTATTTATATGTAAATTGTCAACAATTAAATCAACAGAAAGGACAGGTCATTTCTTCTTAATTAAAATAATTGAAATATCGTTATTAAAAAACAACAAAAAAAATGTCTAAAAATCAGTGCGTATATGCGACAGTTTTAAATGACGTCACTCGCATAGACCGTTGAGTCAATTCCCCACAACTTGTATGCTTTATATACGCATACACGCACGCGCGCGCACGTGTATGTATAACTCATAAAAATTAAATGAATTTTGTATGGAATGTATGGAATGAATAGAATGTATAACACGCATGGCATGTATGGAATTTTTTTAATGGAGGATGGAGGGGGAAATCTCAATTGTCCGCTCTAAAAATGAGCTGCATCTCATCAGCAGTCGCATTCGCATCCAGAGTGAACTAGTGTAAAGTGTGAAAGAAAAAAGGTTATACGAACATTCTACAATGAGCTCCAACAAGATTGACTATAGATAATTATTTGTTTTATTGTTTATAGAATATACTTTATATATTTTTTCAATATTTTTTATTTGTGCAGATTTGAGCAAGCGAGGCTGGATAGCTTCACGTCTCAATGGACATGCGCACACGTACGACCAGCAGATCTTGCTGCGGCCGGCTTTTATTATACGGGGCAGATCGATCAAGTGCGCTGTTTTGAATGTGGTATGGAAGTCTGTCTGTTGGGAAGAAGATAATGGCCCTATGACGGAACATAAATGCTGGGATGGCGGCTGCCTTTTCATTCGTAACAGAAGTTGCGTCAATGTGCCGATCGGATCGAGCCCCGTACCGGTACCTCCTCGAAGAAAAAGTAAAGATGTTTGTGGACCGTATAAGCTCGAGTATCGGACAGCAACAGAGTTCGCAACAACTAGCCCACCTTCGAGTACAGACGAGCCTGCGTTATCGTTATCGATAGAGAGTCTTGTTACAAAGCTTTTTTCCGATTTACATTTGACGGAGAAATGTGCTTCGAAAACCATAGCAAATGCAACTGTTGGTATGGTATCTATTTGCGAAGAATTTGTACGCGGTTATAAGAAGAGTATCGATAAACAAAATGAAAAAATGAATGAAATTCTCGAAAGGGTTGAAAAATCGCAGCGAGATATACTAAAAATAGTAGGCAATATTTTGCGTCAACTTGAAATTACCAGATGTAAGATATGTTTGGATGCTAGGGTCGCAGTACTATTTTTACCTTGTGGACATATCACTGGAATGTGCATCAAGAATTGACGATTGTCCAATATGTCGTCAAACTATTACTAAACGCGTTCATGCTTATTTTGCGTAAATTTGTTCTTGTTTGGTTTTAATGAAGTTCCTATTATTTAAAAAAAATGTTTGTATACTTTTTTTCTCTTTTAATTTAATATTTTTTGTATTTTAATGTAAAATTTTTTTTGTTTCTTATATATATATGTAAGCATCAATTTTTGAAAAACTAAAATTGTGCTAAGAGGTAAGGCAATAATCAACTCTTGTAAGATGAAGTTTATAACTGTATTTACAATATTTACACATTAGTCCAAACTATTAATAATTGTTAAATAAAAGTGATATCTTAATAACTAACCTGAATCTATACAATAGCCGATAACACGCCTTTTATACGTCTGTATACAAACGTCAAAATTAACGATGCTCTCTGCTCGGAGTCTTATTCTCAACTAACTACTTACTACCGACTAACTATAGCTACAAGAGTCTAAGCCAAGCTTGGTACTATACACAAGCTTACATCCCCCTCACTAAGACCGAGAACACCCCCCTTCGAAATAAGGAACAAATTTACTAGAATGAAAAATATTTGATATTATTCTTTTAAATCCACTGTCTAACAGATACATTGTTTTTGAGATATTTTTTTATTTTAAATGGACCAATTCTGATTGGGTCCATTTTATTCCTATTTAATTTGTTAACATTTTGTACATAAACTAAGTCACCTACTTTATATTCTATTTGTTTTACATTTTTATTATAATATTCTTCATTTTTATTGTGTATTTCTTTTGATTTAATATAAGCTAGTTTTCTATTTTCCTCCAAATTTTTCAGATTATTATTATTTATTTCATCTGGTAAATATGAATTGTTTACTCCTGTTAATAGATAATTAGGAGCAAATCCAGTTGAGCTATGAATCGTATTATTATAATCTTTTACACATTCTTCTGCTATTGTAGGCCATGATTTATTTTTATTTTCATAGATTTTGCATCTTATTCTGTTTACCAAAGTTTGATTTGTCCTTTCGTTTAATCCATTTGAAAATTCGCAATCCACGGCTGTAAATACCATTGTTATCTTCCGTTCATTTAAATATTTTTTTAATTGAGCTGAATTTATGCCTGGATATTGATCTGTTAAAATTATTTTAATTTGTCCATTTTTTTCTATCTTTTTAGTTAAGTTTATGAAATCCTTCGCAATTTGAGTCTTTGAGGTTATTATATATGCTAATCTTGTAAAATGATCAACAGCCAAGTGTAAGTATTTTTTTGTACTGTTCTTGCTTTTAAAACCTCCTTTTGTATCTATAGACACTATTTCTAAAGGTTTCTTTGCCGGACCAAGATGCGATAATGGTGCTTTAAAACAACCTATTCTTGACTTATTTTTCATGCATGTTTCACAGGATCTACAAATCAATCTTATATGTTTATACATACTAGAGTCACGCAGCGCGCTACGCGCGCCTCAAGCTGTCGTTGTTACGTGATATAATTTGTAACATAATTGGTGGTTCGGATTACACCTTAAACTGAACGTTCACTTATGATGTATGTAAAAAAACTCAGCCTACGTTACCCTTTGAAAAGAGGCGCGGGAGGGGGATTGCCTATATGCCTTTCATCATTATAATATGTTACCAAATGTGTACCGGTACCTATTTTACCTCTGCAACGTTCATACGATTTTCCTTGGAGTAACATGACATAACATATTGTTGTAGAATAAACATTGTAATTATAGTTTTTATTAGGAAAGTTATTAAATAATTATATGATGTTATATACAACAAATTTTTAACAGTCGAATATGTTTTTTATGAGTAAAGCTCTTTGTAAACATAATTTTTAACCTTGAAACTATTTTGTCGATGGCTTCCAAGAAAAATTTTAATGGTATCCCATGATCGTACCCTAGACATTGCTACATACAATTGTCCATGATTGAAAACGTCTCTACGTAAATCAATTGCAATATTATCAAATGTTTGCCCTTGAGCTTTATTAATCGTCATTGCAAATGCTAATTTAACAGGAAATTGACGTCTTTTAAAAGAAAATGGATACTCGTTAGTACAAAACAATGAGATGCGATTTAAAAATATTATATCATTAGATTTATCTCCTGTTAAAACTTGACATTTCAACAAATGATGTGAAAAATCTAATATCCGTAAACGTGTACCATTACATAAACCTTCATGAATACTAATATTTCTAATAAGCATAACGATACAATTTTTTCTTAATCGTAATTCATATGGAGGTAAACTGGAAGGGTTTAAGGAATTTAAATATTCAGGTAAAAGTACTTCATCAAATTCTCCATTATCACATCCATCAGTACTGTCGATTGCTGTGTAAATGTGTTCCGTGCTGATATCTAGCAAATTAGTAGTTAATTTATTTATCTCATCGACATCAGCATTTCTTGCAGCTAGAATAGCACATTTACTCATGTTATCAAATTTCTTTTCTAAGATTAGTTTACCAAATACAGTCTGAACAACATCATTATTGATATCGAGAATGCAATGATCAGGCAACGTCAAATTATCGTGTTGGTCATTTAATGTTCCATCGCCAACTAATATTAAAAATTTTACAAAATCAACTTCGTGAGGTAAAACTCTCATATTCGTTGTAAGATTATATTTGATGAAGTGCCTCCATAATTCACTGTATTTTATTGAAAGATTCAATGTTTCACTTCTTGTTCCATGAAGTCTAATTGGTAAAAGCTGTCGAAAATCACCACCTAAAACCATAACTTTACCACCGAAAGGTAAATCATTGTTCATAACATCTTTAAGCGTTCTGTTAACTATTTCCAGTGCATATCTTGGAGCCATTGGAGCTTCATCCCAAATGAAAACTCTTGTTTCTTTTAACAAAAGACCTTCTTTAGATTGCGCCGTAATGCTTGAAGATGAATCGCTATACATAGGAACTGGAAGGCCAAATGTTTTATGCACTGTTTTTCCTTTTGGAAGCAAAATTGCAGCAATCCCTGTAAAAGCCATTGAAGTAACTTTAATATTTTTTGAACATAATAAATTATAAATAGTTGTATAGATAAAAGTTTTCCCCGAGCCTCCTGGGCCATCAATATATAAACAATTATTATTATTCACCTTATCATTAGTAGCAGTTGCTAAATCCAAAATAACATCAACAATTTCTTTTTGTTGTTCATTCAATAAATTATATTGTTGTTCTCCGATATCTGCCAAATGTGTTTGTGATAACTGATCGCTACTTTCAACTAATAAATGAGTAATTACTGTTTGATTCATAGCAGGAAAATCAGACAAACTTTTACCTTCATGATTTAACATATTACTTATGTCAGCGTATGCCATTTGATGACTTATATCAGTATTGTTTGTCCTTGAAAAATCTTCGGATAATGCATCTTTAAAATCATCCCATAATTTTTCTGGATGAATTGGTTGACAATGTATTAAAATGCGAACAAATAATTGTCTAAGTCTTCGTGGCATCATCCATAATGTTGCTTCTTGTAGAGCTTTAGCCCACTCTTGGTCATCTTCTATTAATCCCAATTCAAGACATGCTGCTATGAATGAAGGTTGTAATATGCCGTTAACTGTTTTTAATGAATCGAAGCTTGTAGCTCCTCGTGCATGCAATAGTAGTAATCGCAAGTGGAATAACTCGATTCGTGTAGGACTGATCGAAAACATCCTTCCAAAACAGTTGAAATGCGATTTACGTGCTACCCATTTGGTTACTTTGATGCCATTTGTTTTTTCTTTTTTATACGTAAAAAACCTTGGAATATCACTGTACAGATATTGCCGTGCATTTTCATTTTCAATATTCAACTTGAAATAATCAAGCAGTTAACTATTTACTTCATTGAGATTGTTTACAGAATTGTTTGCATCAGTAGAAATGATAACACACTGTTGATTTTGTAAATGAACTGGTAATCGCTCTATAGTATGACTTTTGTCTTGTAGACTTTTACTCAAAATTCGATAGCATGCTTCAACAGGTCCAACATACCGAGTTTCTATGAAATTAGAAACTTCATCATGGTTGATAACATCTTTAGATGTATTTTCGGTCCCAATAACGACAGTAGCTGCCATGTCCTTTATAAATGTATTTATATAAATATTTTACAGCTCGAACACTTGAAACAATTTCCACATTCATATGACAATCAAACATTTTTAATAAGTTACGGCAATGTGGTACAACCCATCGATTATCAATAATATGGCCATTAGGTTGTTCATGTGAAACACCATCATCTCTTCTTTGATAATGAGGATATCCAGTTTCATCCATAATTGTTTCATTTTGAAATTCTTTTGGGAATTTTTTTGAACATTTGTTATTTACCATACACCAATCACCGCAAGGTCCATGCGTCATATTTTTTACAACGATATTCAATAAATCAGGATCAATATCTTTATCAGGTAATTCAGCGGATATAAATTTGTTAACCAAATCAGGTGTGGTTATTTTATGAGCATATTTTAAGGTAATTAATAAATGCATATGAGGTAGCCCACGTTTTTGAAATTCTATAACATATACGTACAATTCTACTTCTCCAAAAACATTTTTTTTTATAACAACGTCGAGTAATCGATTTTTTTATAAATGAAATACACGAGCAACAATATCTGGTCGATCACATGCCTGTTGGCCTGGTAAAAGGTTTTCTTGAATCTCTTTCCACCTTGGGTTGCAAGTCATCGTAAGAAAAATATCCGGTTTCCCAGTTTTACCAACTAAAGACATGGCATCTTGATAACTTTGTTGCATGTGACGTGGTGAACCCAAAAAAGTCGATGGTAAAATAACTGTTTTCCCTACTTCACCATTAATGTCATTTGCAGAATTTTGCAAATAATCATGTAATCCTTGGTATGTATCTGCTTTTAACTCTCTTTGATGATCTTTACACCATTGAATTCTATCTTTTTCGATTTTAACATATGAATCTACAACCCATTGTTGAAACAATCGACGACCTAGTAAAATGGAATTAAATTCATCCTGCCTTATAGCCATTTTATATTTAGTATAGGCCATTCGCGTTACTCGTCTACTTGAATCATTATCATTTACCTTGATACGTTCTAAATTTCTATGCCATCCTCGTGAACCATAAGGATAAAACAAAGGATATATCCATGGCTCCACGTTAGGATCCATAGTACTAACATATTGCAATACCTTTCTATTTTTGTTTCTAATAGTGACATACGACTCTGGAATTTCACCATCAGCAGTCGTTGAAAAAATAGTAGCAACCTCGTTTGTTCTTTGAAAATTAAATCGTCGTCTATCATTTCCTGGTTTCAAGGTAAATAATAATTGCAATTCAAGTTTCTCTTCGACATTCATTCGAGATCTCTGCTCATTTATTTCTTGTTTCATCATTGCGTATGACTGTGCAAATATATTGTTCTCTCTTATTATTCTGTCTAACGTCGTAAGTGTTTCTTGTCTAAGATGCGGGTTTTGTGATAATCGTACATGAAGAGCCTCTTCTTGATCAACAAAAAAGAGCTGTCCATAAGCAGGACTTTCATTCAGGCAGGGATATAGTGCTGTATTGATTTGATAATATATCTGCCCATGAATTTTGAAACAATATGGCCCTGGACGGCGCTGTTGAAAGTTAACTAAATTGGCATTAAAAGAAGCAAACGAAAGCGAATTATTATAATAACGAATGTTATCAAAAAAATCATTTGAATTTGCATGAGTTCCATCAAACAAAGATGATAATTCTTGAGGAAAGTCAGGGGCAGCATCTAGAACTACTGCTCCATGGGAACAACAATCATTGAAAGATAAGCCTTTTTTATCAACTTTTTCCGATTCAAAATGTTTTGCTTTACAATGCTTACATAAAACATTCATTTTTCCTAAATAATCTTGTGCAATTGTAGAATTTCTACGTTCATCATTTATAAGATTACGCACAACTTGACGCCTAATTCTCTGACATTCAGCATTTCTCAAACGTCTTTGAGCTTGATACACTTCTTCTTCCTCTGGAGTGCGTTTTTTTTTGTTCTCCCCATTATAAAAAAAAAAAATGAATTTAAATGTACAAAGTAAAATACGATAATAATGGTAAATAAATATTTTACTGTTTAATAATCAAAGTATAAATAATAAGGTATTCGATGTTATTAAAATAATAGTATATTCAATGTCTCTCTCGTATAAAATAAAAAACAGTTAAAATCTGTTCCGAAAAGTAGAATGATATAGTACAAATACAAGCCAAGTACAAATGTACTTTTTTGGCTTAGTGCATATTCTACTATCAAATTTGGTTTTGTTTTACTTGAAGTTCGTTATCTTTTTTATTTTTTCAATCAATTTTCGTTTTTCTGTGTTCTTTGTTTCTTTATTTCATTATCCAGTTTCGTTTTTTTCTTAATCTTTGTTTTTCAAAATTTCTTTCAAACAGTCAGTATACTTTCTTCTGGTTATTCTTACATAAATTTTCTATTGTGTTCAAAAGTCTATCTAGAAAGCAATATTTGAATATTGCAATTTCTTTCAAGCATCTCTTTCTTAAGAAATTAATTTTTTTGTTAAGTAAGCAGGTGTGAATAAAAACAATAAAATAGAAAGCACTTATGAATAATAATAACGACAACTATATATGATGTAAGTTAACAATTTATAAGCTATTTTTTATTTTCATAAATTAAACATTCCAATCAAATCACTATGAGCGATATATGACTTTATTTCTGTCCAGTAATATATGAAAAGAAAACTAAATTAGATGTATTTTTGTGGCTAATCTTATGCATGTCGTTATACCGTAACAGATCAAATTGAATGTGCCTATAAAAGTGCATCAATTTCTCTTGAGGAACCTGAAATGAAAGAAATATATTCATCAATAAATGAAACATCTCTTCTCAATAACAAAAGATGGATATAAGTAGAAAAGCTTATTATAGTGATCGTTAGGCTAACATTTATCCATCTGAGATTTTTTAAATAATTTCAAGACATTGCCATATTTTTCGCTATCAATACACAATTTATAGTCTAAACAATCATGTAATCAAAATATTTATGAGATGGATGTAAGAAATAGTAATAAAATAGTCAAATTATTCCAAGAATAAGTAAGTAATTGAGTAATTGTTTTTAACAATTTTAAAGCGATCACTGATACTTTCTATCAAATGAAATGTCATTACATTGGAATTGCTTCAACTGTTCATCAATATAACATGGCATGCTAAAATGTTAAACTAAAAATGCCTTATTATGTTATTATAAATGCTACCAATATTAGTATATTTTCAAGTAGCAAAAATATCAAATCATATCTCTGCATGAATAAGGTTAGAACTTCTAAATATTTTTGTTTCCAATAATGTATTATATTAACTTACCTAAGGTAATATTTTACTGCTGTTAAAAACAGCAATATGCAGCTTTGCAGAAGAAGAATGAATTGAAAGCTATGTCGATAATTTTATTATGCTTATATGCAAAGATTACACAACAGTGCACAGCAACTACTGCTTTAAAAAAAAACGTGGTTTCTGTGACGACCGTTCCATTACCATGGACATTACGGTTGCTATAGATTTCAATGACCATATGCGCATGCCCGAGTTCGCGTATTGTCTTATGACCGTTTCGATTGGAGACCCAATATCGCCAAGTACAGAGTAAAGTACTATTTATATTTTAAGCAAAACTGCACAGTTGAAGAATGTACATATCAAAAAATATAAATTTAGTGCTTTCGGATAATCCATATAACATTTTTTAAACGTTCAATCAATGTAATTTATAGAGTATATCTTTTTATTGAAAATATATTTGCAATAACGATTAATAACATTTGCAATAATAATTAGTAGCAATATTAAACGTTAGTTCACTCCCTAGTTTGCCCTAAATTTTGTAGAATAAAATAATACTAATTACTTACCTTCTCAAAAATGAATTCTGTAAAAGAAAATATAGGAAAATGTTTTGATATTAAAACAATTTTATTTTTAAGACACATGAGGGATAGGAAAAGTTTTATTAGAATCACGTTCATTACAAATGTTATTTTCATCACATTGATGATTACCGGAGAAAAAAAATGTTTTAATCACATTCCTGGCAAATTACAGTTTAATTATTGATAAGTATCAATTAACACATTACTTGAGTCTTGAATACAAAAGTTGAATCCAATGAAACATTTTATTCTCTAGGTAATTTGACAATTTTCTTACAGGCATAATAAATTATTTATTTTATTAAAACGAACTTACAAATGTGTTTTTATTTCAAAGTATCGGTTATTACAACTAAAATATTATGCTTATAGCATTATTTACTTTACTTCTTATACAAAAAATGCGATATACTTCTTACACAAACAGTTCGACCGATGTACGCACAATAAACAAATTTGAAGCTCTTATATTCTATTTTTACATGCATAAAGACATACGGAACGTTATTTATTTTTTTATTTTTCATTATAAATATTGACTAAGGCCATACTCGATCGCGTTAACATTCATTGTATCTCAACATGCTCACTCATCTTACATTCGCTTAAAGCTTATTTTTATCACTTCCGAATAGGAACTTGAGTTTACATTTTTTTAAACATCAGTCGTGTACAAACTCCAGTCTGTGACTGATAAGTAGGGTACGAAAATAGCTAATAAATAGTGTGAGAGATGAGAGATTATCTTTATATGCATTAATATATACGAAACGTTATATATCTTTTTTCATTATGAATAATGACTAAGGTCATACTCGACCGCGTTAACACTATTCTAAAAGCTATTCAGTCAGTTTTTTCAGTACTGTATTACTTAAAGAGAACTTGAGCTTGCATTTTGTTAAATTAAAGTTGTGTATAAACTTCAGTCATTGACTGATAAGTTTTGTACGAAAATCGATGTAAAAACGTCATAAAAATTTTTTTACTCCTACTACAAACGCGTAATTTGTATTATTTAATCGTTACATATATAAACTGTTATAAAAAGTTATTTTAATTGTTACATTTTAAACTATGACAAAGGAAATACTTGATAATGTTAACATTAACAAAACGTTATTTCAATTTTTTGTACTATAAATTCGCGAGTTTTTTAAAGAATATATTCATGAGCGTGTATATGACTCCTATCTCACTTTACTTATCATCTTTTTTTCAAGGAAACTCAATCAATCAGACTTATGTATATAATGCAGTAAAAAATGGAGCTTGCATTTAGTCAATGAGGATAATGAGCACTGAACGTTAAATAGATATAAAGTCGTACCAAAAAAATTAGTTGTAATTGTATTAAGAAATAGTAGAAAATTAGAAAAGAAGCGAATTTGAACGTAAATGCATTATAAAAAAAATGAAAAGTAAAAATATTCTCAATACTTATTTTGATTAAAAGAAAATAGCATATAAGCTATTGTTTCTTATAAAAGAAAAAGAAAACAACCTCATTCTGGAGCCCTGCGCTTGGGAAATTTTCTGACGTTCATACACTCCTGTGGAGTTAAACGCTGATGATCGAAGTCAGCAACGATGTCGGTCATGTTTGGGCAGGTAATAGTTGTCAATGAACCTGTGAATAAAAAATACGATAATTTATTTGAGAAATATAAAATAGTAAAATCAATATTTTATCTGAAGTAATGGGACAAAAATAAACGTACCACTTTCAGTGATTCGTCCTGTAACAGTCACGAAAACACCAATAGGAAGTTCCTCTGTCGGGTTGAAGTTGGTTACTTCCAAGTTCACCTTCAAAGTTCCGTCAGTTATTGCTGAGCTACCGTAGCTTGATCTTGCTCCGTAATGATTCTCTACCAATCGAAATTTCTGCTTCAAGTAACCAGTTAACTCTGTAAGAATTTCAGATATTACATTATATACAAATTGAGTTACATACAAACACAACTTTTTAATAATCAGATCAGATTAAAAATTGTAAAAATCATGCATTCACAATACAATATTTACATATTATAGATATACACTTGAATATGATTTTAGCGAAACAATAAAATTTCATTGAACTGCGATAATTTTTACAACTAAAGAGAAATTAACTTGAAAAATTAAAAAGTACTCACTAATCAATCCAGAAGTGTGCTCTGCAATAGTGTCAAACCCAACGTCAAGTGGTACCTCATTGAACGGAACATTTACGTTGCGAAATCCTATGTATTCAATGTCAGTGCCTGCTTGGATAATGATTTCATAAGGCACATATCCTTCACTTTCTTTCTTGGCGTACTTTTGGCCTTGAGCTTTAGTAAGCCCGCCGATGATGTGTAGTACCTGCAAAAAGAATGGTATTATAGTCATGCAATTATAAAATAAATAATTTATTCTTTTTTTTTTCTACTTACTCTATTGATTTGTATCTCAGGCTCGTACTTTGCTATCAGCTCTCGCTGCCACACACAGCATGAAACCTTTTTTGTTCCGTTGCTCAACACGAATTTGAATAAACGAAATTGCCCTTGCTTTCCAACGTCACGTGCAGCAGTTATTTCGTCAACATATCCAATAATCTCGCTGCGAACAATCGAATTACAAAATATATTACAAAAATTTCCAAAAAAATATTGAAGTTATACATTTATGACACTTACGTGGTCTTGTCTTTGTCCACTAACTCGTCAAAGCCATCATCGTCAGTCAGTTGGTATTGAAGATTATTTGGAGGGTCCATTATTAGTGGATAGAAACTGAAAAAATTATTATTTTTAAATGAAAGGAGGTTTCAGCATCTTACTCAGATTCATGAGAAATGCAATTTAACCACGTGGTGTGTCGGATATGACAATTTTTTTTCTATGTTAACTTCAACTTAAAAATTCATAAAAAATACAATGAACGCATTTCATAATTA